CCGAGGACTATTGCTCTAGTTCCTCCAACAATACATGTGCTATGTCCCCAAGCAAATCTTGGAGGCCGACCAGGTACATTCAATATCCTCCATGTAGGCTTCTCTTCTGTTGGATCCAAAATGTAGAGCCGAGATGCTGAGTGGAGACCAGCAACGGACCCACCAAAGACCAGAATTCTGCCACCAGGGAGACTTACTGCCACGTGATCAAGCCTTGGTGGAGGAGCAACGCCTCCAGGATTTCCGGCACCAGGCATTCCACTTCCTGTAACACATCTCCAGCATGGTTCTTCCTCGCTGAGATCCATGGTAAATACATCACTTGATCGAAAACGCAGAGGACCGCTCTTGGCAAGACCCCCAAACATAAGTATTTTCCTGCCTCCATAAACAGACAGCGTGTGGCCCAAACGAGAAGGTGGAGTCCACGTCACCGGTATCTCATGCCACACAGGCTTCTCTATAGACAGATCAAGCAGGAAAGTATCACTTAGAAGCACACCAGAATCTGCACAACCACCAGAGACTATCAACTTGGTACCATCCAAGGTACAGGAGCTGTGCCAAGATCTTGGAAGCGGAGGCGCCAAACTAGAGATTTCACGCCAAGTTGGTTGTTTGGCATCCAAATCCAGCACAAAGACATCATTCAGGAGGCCCTGCCTTCCACAGCCTCCAAACACAACAAGATGAGATCCATTCACACAAGAGAGTGTGTGCCCCCAACGTCCAGGAGGAGGAGAGCTGACTTTGACATATTTCCACTCTGGATTGCTGGAATTCAAGTCCAATACAAAAGTATCATTCATTGGTTGCATGTTGACCCCCTCTCCACCAAAGAGTACAACACGGTTCCCTACTGCACATGCACTGAAGTTGCAACGTGAAGGTTCAACAGCACCTCCAACAGTTAGCTTCCTCCATGCTGCCGCTTCTAGAGTAGTTAATTCTCTAGCCAATCTGCCCCAACCCAATCTTTTAGCTCCCGGCACCGTCTCTAACACACGAGTTGTTTCACTACCCCATGCATTTTGACAGACCATTCGCCAAAGATCTTCATTTTTTGTCAGCTCATAAAGTCGTCTAGAAACAGAACCAACAGACGCAATGTCTCTCGGGGTCAACCGTGAAAGAACCTTGAGGGCTAGGACTTCATCACTCAACTGCAATATACCGCAAAACCCACGACTGATAGTGCGGTTTCCTTCTGAGACTGGTCCACTAGAAGAAAGGCTAGAACGGTACTTATCCAGTAGTCTTGTAGGCTCCTTTACCAAGGATCCTGGAAGTGGACCCAAATCAATATTTACTTCCTTGAAGAATTGAATACCAATAATGTGAGTTATTGCTTCATCATCCCCATATATAGGAGTCATACGCAGCCTATTCATCAAAGGAGATCCATCTTTTCTAAAGTTTAACAATTCGCCTTGAAATTCAATCCCTTGGTCAATGCATCTTCTAATTTCTGCTACTACAGTTGAGTCCACAAGAGGATGCCTTCGTTTGGCGTACGGGCCTCTACATTGCAAGAAGCGACTGCCCAAAAAAAAAAAGAAACAAAAATAGCGTAAGAATGGGTGTTATGTGAACAAAGGTTATAAAGATAAAGCAGGCACAAAATAAACACTCAGGGGTCATTTGCTTTAGTAAGAAGTTATAAAGGGATTGAAAAATGTGGATTAGTTATGCTGGGATTGTAATGCAGAGATTATTTTTCATCGAGCGTTTGGTTCATTGTATTAAAACTCAGAAATACAACGTATAACTTAGACTCGTATTTGGTCTAAAACTGTATAAACTTTTGTTTACAATTATACCCTTGAACTTGTGTAGGGCTTTTCTGTTTCATTTAAATGGATTAAAGAATAATCAACACCCAGTTATATTTATATTAACAACATCCTTGGTCACGACCAGAGAATTCTCCACCAGCCCATTTTGGGAAAAAACGAAAAGAAGAGATAAGGTTTGAGAATCATGGCTTTCTTCTTCGCCAAATTCTTTTGCCTTCCATTTCTCCCCCTAAGTTTCTCCTGAGCTTCCTATCTCACCTTTGAGAATTCATCTACTGCCCCAAATTAGGTTCAAAATCCAGATTGGAGTTTTTAAAATTGCGACAGAAGAGTAGAAAATGGAAACCCTAATAACTTCTTTCTCCACTACCCGTTGCCATGCCCCCTCCTCTCCATTAGGATGAAATGGAAGCAATCCAGAAAGCAGCTGTATTCAGTTATGCACAACAGGTGGTCTCCATGTTCTAAATTGTTCTATTTGTTTCTTTATGGTGAATAGACAAAATCCCAACTGCATATTCTACTTCTTCTTGCATTTCTCACTAAATTATCGTATAGTTAAATCACAGATAGTTCATCAACAAAAAATATATGCGTATTAGCTATACCAAAATTGAAGTGGTAACCAAACATAGTATAAATCCAATACAGATTTATATACATGGATTATTTGCCTAATACTTGTAACCAAACGTACCCTCAGTCCTTTCACAACTATGAAGAGACACCACATTTACCGACAAAAGTAGAAATAATCAGTCAGAATTTAAGACGATCCACTGTATTATTACAATCGGCATTCCATGTGGACATCTGAATCATGACGTTAACAGCTGCTTATAATGTACACTGATAGCACTAAGCAAGTGACTCAAAATCCTACAACCCCCCTTCTGATTTCCAAAACATACCTCTTCCCCAACACTTTTCTCTTCTTTCATTTACTAACAGAAGTTCCTTTTCCCTGTTTTCTTTATGACAACTTCCTTTATTTTCTTTTTCTTTTATTTTATGAGCTGCTGGCATTTGGAGGGCTGCAGTTAATTGTATTATTGCAGAAAAAGAAAAGACATATATCATCCAAATACACAAGAAAAGCGAAGTTGTTGTTGCACACAGCCCACATCTTTGTAGCAGAAAATCAGTTTGGGGAATGATAACCATAAAGATAATTAAGCTTTACCTGATTCAGGTTCTTAAGAAAACAGATGAAGCAAAATGCAACAGAGTTGGTTTTCAACAGAATAATCTGTGGCAAACTGGGAATAGAAGAAGATTTTAAATATACTGGCAGTTCCAGACAAAAAACTTCTTCACACTTTCTACAGCCTCACTGACCCTGCCTCAGCACTCATCCACATACCATTTCATAGTTCCCAACATTAACATACTTAATCCTATTTTAGTAGGATTAGTGTGAATATGTCCTCATTCCTCTCATCCTAAATACTACCGTGTCTACCCACCCTTAAAAGAGAAAAATCGAAGAGACCAAGAAAATGGGAAAATAGAAAACATATCATAATGTAACAACACTGAAATCTAAAGATTAGTAACGTAAAAACCACCAGCCTTACACATCTATTTACTGCAACAAACTAAAACTTTGGCAAAACACAAGTTATGGGTCAGTGTTCTTTTCTAGATAAGCTTTATAGATCAGTGCCTTTTTTTGATTGGTTTTATGGATCACTATTCCCATGTAACAAATCGATGGCTAAGTCAACTAGACCCATATTATCTTTTAATATCAGGTGAAGACCAGTCCTTGTTTCATTTGACTACCCATAGGAATATTTCCAATATATGTCAAACCAGTTAGGAGGTTATAATTCAGAATGAAAAAGTTCATCAACTGTTAAGAACCATTTATTTGCTTTCGGAAACAATCAAACAGGAGAAATTTGAACTTATTTCAGTTCACTCCGGCACCCCAGGAGAAATTGCATAAGAAAATTTTAGGGATGTGAGGATGGAAAAACTATCCTTTGAACAATTGAACACATTCATTCTGAAAGATCACTACCGATACAACTGCAGTTTCAACAAGGGCTTAGTCTTAGTGAATAGTTAGTTACCCTAGCCCAACTTGTCTCAGGCTCAACTTAGCTCAACATTAACAGAAGGCTCCAACGCAATTTGAACCAAGCTCAAGGCAAAGATATCAACTAACCTGTTATATCTTTCAAAAGTGTCCATCTACCTTTCTTACTCTCTCTCCCTGACAACAACATGGTCATGGTTTACACCATTTAAGAACACCAGAGGACGCAACGACGAGTTGACCAAGTCTGACCGGAGGTTGGAAAGGGTTTGACACATTTGACCAAGATATTGAATAGGTTCACTAGCACTTGACCTTCTGAAAATATTATTCTAATGACCAAATCACTTGTGTCACATGGTCACCCTTCTTGGGTCATACAGTCTACTAAATTATTTAGGATCTTCTTTATTTTGTATTTGGGCTTTGCCCATTAACTTGGCATAGAAAGAGTAAGTGTTTCAGGTTAGGGTTTAGTCTATAATGTTTTGATGACGAATTATCATATGAGAGAACCCTTTTGTGGAATTCACCTTTATATCTTCAATTGAACCTCAACTCGGATTCTTCTAGCAAGTTTTCAAATGTATGAGTTTACTTTTCTTCCTCCTTTGGATTAAACCATGTATCTGAATGCTAATTAGTGGATTTCAAGTTACTTTGCTTGTGGTTAGCTAATTGCTTCATTAGCTTGGTTCCTCCATTCTTTCTTCCCCAATTTTGGATTAGGTCATTAGATTGCGGCTACAGGGAATCAAGTTTCCAAATACTTGATAGTATCATTTCTAATCTAATTGGTCTTATCCTACCCATCATTTATCTTTATGTTCTTCATTTCATAGGCGTTCTTGAGGGTTGTTAGGTTCTCCATCAATTTGCTTGAAACACGTGAAATTATTTCCATCGTCAATTGGTATGAAGCAACAGCGGTGAGTTTAAGAGAGTGAATAATATGATCTTGAGCGCAAATACGGGGGTTTGAGGGGATATCTCTTGGGTAATACATGTAAGGGACTAACTTGTGAGGTCCTTCTTGATGCTAACCAATTTTATTTGTTTTAACGCACGCCTTTTACAGTTTTAAGGAAGTTAGGAGGTACGTGTTTTTATGGAGTTGGGAGGAGTAAAGCAATAAGCAAGAAAGGTATACTCCACAATGATTATAAAGGACGATACCTATGGTGTGGATGGCTAAGGAGTTGAAAGGTGGGGATATAATAGTGAGGAATCAAATAGATCACGAGATGACTCTAATTAAGAATGTTATTCTCATGAGTTACACTTGAGGAGCAAGGAAGAAGTAATATCAATGAGTCAACATTGAGGAGGGTAAAGAACGTACATTTAAGGAATGGCTTGAATATAGCAAGAACACAAATGAGAAGCTGGAATGGCCCAAGAAACATGTGACAAAAGAATCAAAGGGAAAGTTTCTTGAAACAAATGCTTACCCGTGACAAGTCTCCCATGTCACGAGTTGAAGACAAGTCATTGAAGATTGATGTGAAAGGTTCTTCAAATGATTCTAGAGGCATCCTTGGCAACTACAAAGAAGCTTATGCTACAACAAAAGCACCCCATCCCAAGCTTCTAATGTTGACAAAGGTAAATATAAAGCTCATAGGGAAAGATCAAGGTATGTTGGCTACACTTAATATTTTTTCTTGTGACAATGCTTTTCAAAGTATGCCATGTAGTTAATTGGAGAATGAAGCTTCCTTATGTGTGAGTAATTCATTTAAAGGTGCGGATTCTAATCATGATAAATGTGGTGTTGACTCATTGGGAGTATTTACATGTGAATCCACTTGTGAAGTTGTGTTTACTTGAGGATGAGATTGACTTATGTGTTGATGTAACTTCATTAGAAAAAGATGATTCTTTTGTAGAGGAGGTATTAAGGAACCAAGAGAAATTAAGAACCACGAGTAAATAATCTAAGGTGATGTTCTTTTGTAGAGAGCCATATTTTGGTGTAGGTTCTTTACTTTTTGGTATACGACTTGTATACGGGATTTTCCCATTATTTACCTTATCCAAAAAAATTAAGGAACCAAGTGTAAGTAATCTAAGGTGATGTTAATGTTGCATATGGCTGCTTGGTTGAAAAAGGAATTGAGAAAGATAAGGACGTAAATGAAGGATTGATGATTAGAAGTCTTATGTATTCCTTGGGGTGAAGAAGATGAATTGACACACAGACACAATATTTTCTATACTAGGTGTAGGATTTGGTGAAGGGTGTGCCCTTTGGTAGCTGATGGAACTGATTGTGACAATTTAATAAGTGCAACCTTGGTGAAGGAGATGAGCTTAAGAACTTCCAAATCAAATGTAATGTTGCCACTAAACCTGCGCAGATTAGTGCCATTGAATTCAATTCAATCCATCGCCAGGTTACACTCCAACGCTAATTCCCAAGATCCAATCATACACCCTATTGAGATATTCCCTCCATTTATGTGAACCTATTTGACTTGGCATAGAGTTTAACAAAAAAATAAAGATCGTTGGAAGTTGAGATCATAAACAAGCTGTAACATTTGTGTGGCTCTAATTCTTTTGAAATTTGTGGTCTTAAACATGTCATAGTACTTGTTAAATTGCATTATGGTAGGTTGTCTACATCACACCCCTTGGGTTGCGATCCTACGTGAACACGGGATGCCTTGTGCACCGGGCTGCCGGGCTGCCCTTTTTTTGTTTCCAAAAGAAAGGGGTTATTCTTCTTGGAATATATCAAAAAAGAACTAGGTTCATATAAACTGGAACAGAGNAAAGCTCTTGGCCGGTTGTATGATGCACCATACGCGACTTGGAATGATTTTCTACTAGAGCTCGTGGAGCAATTTTTCAACCAATTTAAGGTTTAAATACAGTTCTTATCTATTTAAGCACTATATTAACAATATTTTCCCCCCCCCCCATGATCCATGAAAAATCAAAACAAACACTGTTGGCGCTAAATTTTGCTATGAGTTGACAACATAGAAAAACTTCCTTTGTGCTAGAAAAAACATCAGAATTTATGTATCGCCCCTCAATTTTTCCATTGGGGTTCTCATCCATCCACTAGATCTAGACAGGACTCAAAAACTTTATCTGCAATATTGAAGAAATTCTGAGGCCTAAGCAGCACCTAGAAAATACACAAGCAGTTCATCCAACATCCACTCTGCCTAGGATGAACTTTAACCAAAGACAAGTTACAAACCAGCAACTTTAGCAGCCAGGACTTTAATTTAGAAGAAATTGATTGCCCTATCCTAGATATGGAAAAAATAGCATTACCTAGGGGAATCTTTATTGTTCTCTGTTTCTTTGGTGGTGGGGCCGAGGCATGGTGGTGGGCAATTTGCTTGGTTAATTTTTTCAAGGATAAACCTACTTCTAAGTCATTTAATCCCCCAAAATGACATTTCCTTATAGGATGCGTATATGAACTGATTTTAGAGTGTTGTAAATCAAGAATATTACAGGTTAAACCCTTTTCTGCATTCACAACATGAAGACAAATACTTGGGCTGCAAACACGTAATAAAACCCAAAAATGAGAGGACAGCTCCATTTTTTGCATTTTATGTGGTGATCAATATTTTTGCTTATTGCCACAAGATATATACAGACCATCTAGAGGAGCTATGCTTTTGATGAATAAGCACATCTTCAAGTGTGTAATTGCCATTAGAACAACTAAAATTTATCAAGATTTAGGCCAAAATGTACTTCAACCATAAGCTCAATGTTGGAGATTTGGGAATTGTTGTTGGGCCTAAATTTAATCATTATTTCAAAAGACAGTCTCCCATATTAAAGAATAAATTTCAATTTGATGTTAGTTCTGTTAAATGACAACAGAAGCGCTTAATGACTTTGAGGCAGAACTATATATATATATATATATATATATAACAAACTTAATTATAGTTTCTTCATTCTTTTATCCAAATAATTATTATTTGTGTCTATAGTTGCATTTTCTTGCACTACATTTCTATTTTTTATTTTTCTTCGCTAAAGCCCACGCTTTAATTGCACTTTGCGCTTAAAGCTTCAGCACCATTGGCGCTTCTTTATGCTTTTCGCTTTTGATTACTCTGACTTACAACTGTCAAAGTCCTGAACTTTTAGAGCTGCCCAGCACCTGAAATAAATGTCTTAAGGATATGATCCAACACAGAGGACAATACGAATTGTGCCACAAGGTTCACTTGCCTTGTAGGGACCTTTTTAAGGACAATCACAAGCCTGTGATTCTCCAGGATATGAAAATAGAAAGAATGGATCCAGGCATTGAAACGCTCCACAATGGAATCAGGCATCAAAACGCTCCCACAAAGGTAAAGGTATTTTCCAATTTCTCTTTGCCATTGATCAGCATTGCTGCTCCATTTTCTTCTGTTACATTTTCCCTTGAATTCCCAAATGTGACAATACCAGGTCTTCACTAGTCCCATCATTTCTCTAAGTCTAAGGATGTAAGCAGCTATTGCTTCAAGATAGAACACCTAGTACACCTTTCTATGAAACTACTTAGTTCATCAAAAAACACCTAGTGCGCCTTTGTACTAGATTTTACTTTCCAAATTCAAATATAAAAAAGGAGGACAAAATAACAAATTTGGTTTCCTACCTACATCATAACCCTCCCCCCCCCCCTCCTTGGTCGATAACAAAGGTATAAACCAAAAAAAAAGGTTAACCAAAAGTTAAGTCAGTCCGCAGAGTAACAGCTGGTAAATGTCATTAAGCATACAAGTAGACCTTTACTTATTTACTGAAGAAAAAAAAAAGCATAATAATTTGCATAGCGTCCTCCTAATCTTTCTCCGTGTTAGAATCAAGCAGTAGAAATTAACTACATCGGTCATTCTAACTCAACTGGTTTATCAATCCTTGCCGAAACAAACACAATCTAAATTATCAGTCCCATAACTTGACACATTTGTCATGCTTTAATTAAATCACTTGAAATTTAACTGCACATATAATAGATTAAGTTGAAAATTTGCAGCTAAACATTGAGTCTAAGACGCTAAATGTATATTATGCATTAACAAAAACTAACTACAATGGGCACCAAACCATAAGTCACTGATGCACGCTACAATATGCATATTGTAACTAGCTCCCAAGGGTCAATGAAGTGGGATAAGAACCATGAAGTCTCAAGTTCAGATCCCAACCGAGTCAAAAAACCATTTGCCTAGGCCTTGGTGGGCTGTGCTGGTGGGGAGGTAGCAGGTATCTCATAGAACAGTCATGGAGCAAGCAAGCTGGCATGGCCACCACCGTCAATAAAAAAATGTATATCCTAACTTAATCTGGTATCAGTAGGTTTTAGTAGCCATAATTCCCTATAAGCTTGATTAAAATGAAGTTTTAACAAACAAAATTCTGAAAATCAAAGAGAAAAAGACAAATATACAACAAACTATGAAGCTATAGATAATTATACTTCAAAGTAGAAAAACAAAAAAATTACCAGTTGCGGCCAAGGACTTCTTCAGCACGGTAACCAGTGACCATCTCAAAGACAGAATTGACATATATAATCGGATGGTCGGGCTCCAAAGCATCGGTCACAACAAAACCACAGGGCGCCGGTTGCAGAAGCGAGTCAATAGGAAAAGGCAAGGCCGCACCGCCACCACTCAACATAAACCCTAGCTTCTCCCCATCCTCATCTAACTCGTCGTCGACTTCTTCCTCAATCACATCATCATCTTCTCCGCTCAAATCCGAGTTACTGTCCCACTCCATCGCGTCTATATATCTTCTTTTTCTTCTTTACCCCATGGTCGGATTTTGAATTTGAAGTCGAATTCGAATGCAAATGCTGCTTTTTAGAAAAAACACCAATTTTGAAAGGAGAATTACGGTTCGATTATGTTTTAGGGTTTTTGCTAGAGCTATGGGCAAGGAAATAAAATGAGTGGTTGGAGAAATTGTGTGAAATTTTTAAAGGGAAAGAAATTAGGAAAACAGAGCGATCCACAGAGAGAGGAGGTTTATTGAGAAGAAAGCATGTGCAAGGCGGGTATTCACCGCTTTTGGATGATATCGGCTGGTGTGGTTGTGTGGGTGTGTGTGTGTGGAAAAACAAAAGATCTTTGGGTATTCCATGGTTTTTGGGATTTTCGTGTTATCTTAGCTTACCGAATACGCCCTTCGTCCTATTCTACCTCCCATTATTACTTTAATTAATAATTTGTGTCTATATATATACACATAAAATATTAAAAGTAAAATGTAATAATTGAATAATTAAAAATTAAAAGTCATTAGTTTTTAAAAACAGTTTGTTCCAACCTGCAGTGGTGTATGCAATATTTTGAGCAAGGTAAAAAAAAAGGTAAATAAATAACAAATCGCGACAATAAGAGCATCCTAATATAGAACACTCAAATCTATAACTACAATTGTATAGTAGATAATTTTTTGTTTTTATAAATACATAATGATAGTCTAAATTATTATAAGAGGTTAATCTTTATTAACTCGTTAGAGAATTACCATAGAAAAGATGTATGTGACTAGAGCAATTGAAAGTGACTAGACTAATTGAAAGTTCGAATTAAAGTTGAAAACAAGTTAAAGAACAAATAAGCAAATCGCTCGAAATTTTCTTAAAGTATAGTAAAGAAATTTAAAAGTGGTTCTTTGATTTTTGAGAATTTTTTTATCTTGAATGATAAAATTTCACCATTTTTAGCAACTGGCCATGATTGGAGGAGATGTTTTGTGTTTTGCTTTTCTTTGTTGGGTGTGTGTTATACACGAAAGTATTTTCAAAAAATAAGTGGTTTTATTACTTATTTTTTCATGTTTGTGAAAAGCTTTTCCGAATTTTTTTTTAGCATTTGGTTAGTGAAAGAAAAATATTTTTTAAAAAAATATGTAATTTAGGCAAATACTATGGGAAGAAGTGAGAGATAAGGGTGGGGTAGGGGTAGNCGAGGTGGGTGGGATGGGATGGTACGATGGTAGGTGTGGGGTTAGGCTAGGGGTTGTGGGGGTGAGGAATAGAGCGAAAAAGATTGAAAAAGAATTTTGATCTTTTCCTTCGTACCAAAAACACCCTTAATTACCTTTGCATGGCAGTTTGTCTTTTGGGGCTAGACTACCCCGACTAGTCATTGTGATTTGTCAGCCATCAACTACTTAATTGTTCAAATAAAAAAAGAAGTAATACTCGTCAGAGAATCGAACAAGCGTCCTTTAAACACAAAGGACCTATTATGACATGCCAAACTAGAATCATTTTAATGATAAATAGTACTCCCTCCGTTCACTTTTACTTGGCATATATACGAAAAATAGATTTTCATTTTAACTTGTCATTTTACGCATATCAAAAGAAGACAAAAAAATTCTTGTTATACTCACAGTATTTATTACTCATTTCAAATCATTTTCTCAAATCTAATAAAATATGTATCAACTAATATGGGTATCATGGTAAATTATGCACTTCATTTATTATTTCTTAAGTGGCGTAAAAAGTCAAAATGTGACAAGTAAAAGTGAACGGATGGAGTAAAAGTAAACGGAGGGAGTTGTATTATCTAATCTTCCTTTATTCTTTATACCACCGTACATTCACCCTATTCACCTTAGTTAGCATGATATCTCTCATCAATACAGGTTTTAATAATTTTGCCCACAAAAATTTAAACATCTTATCACATCACTTATCTTTTTTCCTTGCTTCAATTGAAATTTGAACATTTCAACAATGGACTTCCATACTTAAATTTGTTTAGCTAATATTCCTTATATTCGTGAAAGTCGTATAAACTTATGTGACGACCCGGCCAGTCGTCTCATGAGTTACCGCACCATTTCCTCTATTTCAACTTATTTACGCTTCGTTATCCGTATTTTGTGTGATCGGGTTGATTAGTTCGAGTTCGGAGAGGATTTGGTAAGAAATGAGATACTTAGTCTCTTTAAAGAAGGCTTAAATTGAAAAAGTCAATCGGATGTTGACTTATGTGTTAGAAGGCTCGGAAGTGAGTTCCGATGGTTCGGTTAGCTTCGGGGGTGATTTATGACTTAGGAGCGCGATCGAAATGGGTTTTGGAGTTGTAGAGGAGATTTAGGCTTGAATTGACGAAATTGATATTTTGGCAATTTCGGGTTGATAGGCGAGATTTTGATATAAGGGTCGGAATGGAATTCCGAGAGTTGCAATAGCTTCGTTGTGTCATTTGAGATGTGTGTGCAAAATTTCAGGTCATTCGGACGAGATTTGATAGACTCCTTGAGCGAAAGCATAATTTAAGAGTTCTTGGAGTTCTTAGGCTTGAATCCGATGTTTTGGTGATTTGATGTTGTTGTAAGCATTCCGAAGTGTTGAACAAGTTTGAACGATGTCATGGGATGTGTTGGTACAATTAGTTTGAAGTTTCGGGGGTCCCGGGTAGGTTCCGGGATGTTTTAGGCCGAAAATCATAGTTGTAGCAGGTCCAGAAGGGTTGCAGGCCCCGGAACTCACCCGCGCGGTCCGCACAAAAATAAGTGCGCCCGCGGTGAGTGCTGTGCGGACCGCATAAAAGCGGGCGCGGTAGGTGTCGCGCGGACCGCACAAAAGGGGGCGCGACTGCGGTGAAGAACCCTCCCGTTGGTCCAACTTCGGAAGCTCATATCTTTTGATCTACAAGGAACTTTGAGGTGATTCAAAAACGAAAGTTGTAACCCTTCGTGTCTATTTCCAGAAAGATAAAGATATCGCAATTTGGACATCTGTAGAAAAAAGTTATGGCCAAAATACTAAAACCTATCACTGTAGAGGAAGGCCTGTGCGGCCGCGGTTGTTTTAGCGCGGACCGCACTGGCTTGCGCGGACCGCGGTCGATTTGGTGCGGCTCGCAGAGGCTGAAATCTGAGGGGTACCCTATAAATATGAGGTTTTGGGTTTTATTTAATATTTTGACCTAGAGAGCTCGGATTTTGGCGATTTTTCGAAGGTTTTTCAAGAAATTCATCGGGGTAAGTGATTTTTACTCAGATTTGGCTAGAATACATGAATCTATCACTGAATTCATTATTTAATTCGTGATTTGGGATGGAATTTGGGAAGAAAAATTGTGAACCCTTTCAAAAATGTAAAATGATGATTTGAAGGACCAAATGATATCGGAATTGGATAATTTTGGTATGGTTAGACTCATGAGGGTATGAGGATTCTGAAAATGTAAATTTTACCCGATTCCGAGATGTGGGCCCGGGGCTCGGGTTTTGCTAATTTCGGGATTTTTGATATTTTTCGAATGTTTTCGCTTGAGCTTTGTTCCCTTGGCATATTGTGACATATTCGTTCTGATTTGGATAGATTCGACGCCTGTGGAGGCCGATTTGAGTGGCAAAGGCGTCGCGAGCTAGAGATTTAGTCGGTTCGAGGTGAGTAATGATTGTAAATGATATCCTGAGGGTTTGAAACCCCGAATTTGCACAACGAAGTGCTATATTGAGTTGAGACACACGATGTATGATGAGCGTGGGGTCCATTACTATTGGGGATTGTGACTTGGTCCGTCCCGATTGATGATTTCACCACATTTTTGACTGAGACTTATTTAATATCATTATGATTTGGGCTAGTTGCCATGTTTGGCGCCTTGTGCCGACCTGTAGAACCCTTAGGGGTATTTTTGACTGATTCTCCTCACTTTACTTGTTAAAAATCATATTCTTGATCATGTTTCTATTTGTTTAAACCATAAGAACCGGTTTTATCAATGCTAATCCTAAATGAGAGAAATAAGTGGGCTGAGATCCCTACCTTATATTATTGTGCCCGAGAGGTGGTGAGTATAATGACTAAGAAGGGTTGAGAACCCAACAGTGAGGATGTTATATATGTTATGGATCGGGCTACACGCCGCAGTAAATGCCTATATGGATCGGGCTGCACGCCGCAGCAAATGTTTATGTGGATCGGGCTGCGCGCCGCAGCAATATAGCATTTGGACTGTAGGAGCCCCTCCCGGAGTCTGCACACCCCCAGTGAGCGCAGTCGACTATTATATATGGATCGGGCTGTGCACCACAGCGAGGTACGGATCGGGCTACACACCGCAGCGGTTATTTTGATTTCGGTTATTGTGAGAGATATATGGATTGAGTACGGAGGATAAGTACTAATTAATGGATAGTACGCTTGAGGAGCGGATTTATACTTGTTAAATACCCGATAAGCTATATGTTTTACTTGATCTAAAGAGATTTCACTTGACTTCTTCACTATTTTGCTGCTTTAAGTTATTTTACTGCTTTGATATAGAACTGCTTAGTGCCTTTACGTGTTTTCATACTGTCAGCCATTATTTATGATTATTACTCACTGGGTCGGAGTACTCACATTACTCCCTGCAGCTTGTGTGCAGTTCCAGGTGTTCCCGAGGTATAGAGAGAGCTTTCTTGCCATTCAGCATTCACCAGAGTCATCGAGGTAGCTGCATGGCGTCCACAGACCCGATTCTCTCCTTCTGGCTTTTATTCTTTCAGCATTTTTAGACTATCTCTTTAGGCTGTCTAAAACTTGTAATAGAGGCTCTTGACTTGTGACACCCCGGTTTGGGCTGTGTTTGGATGGGTTCTTCTATTGTTATCTAAATTTTCGCGAATTATTGCTATTAAATCATGTTTTAAACCGTTTTTATGGTAATTAACTGCTTAAAGAAGTGTATTGTTGTTGGACTGGCTGGCCTTGTCTTCACGAGAGGCGCCTTCACGATCGGGTTCGGGGTTAGGGTCGTGACAACTTATGTCATTATGAAAAATAGTGATAATAATTTAGGCATTTGAAAATAAAAATGGTGTAAAGTATTACAAATAGAGCACACCAATTAGCTTTTTTAATAATCATGGTATCGGGTGACTCTATCCAACAAGATATAGTTTTGATAGATAAGAAAAAATCACACAATTCATTGATAGAGCTCACGGTTCTCACCCACTTCATTAACCAGTAGGTCACATCCTTAGGTTCATTGTATTTCTTCTTACACTATCATTTTTGTTCCAAAAGTGAAGATGAAATAAAATATGTGTGATGAAATACAAGATATTGTATTTCTTCTTACACTTGTGTTGCAAGTGAATTCAGTGTTCC